AATTCATTTTTTCCTCTTTCCTCTTTATATCCCTTTTTATAAAAGTAGGTTTTGCAGGCAAGAGTAAAAGATATTGAAAAAATTCCATTTCATTCTTGACTTTTAACTGTTTTCTGTGTCTTAAAACTTGTGACAATAAGTATAGTATTTTTTATAAGTTTCATTCTGCCTTTCTTTTTTATTTCAATATTAATATCTTTCCTTTGTTCTGTTGATTTATTACGTTTAATGACACAAATCGTTCACCAATTTCGTCCCTGTATGCACGGATTGTTTTGTGAGTTTTTACAGAATCAACAACTGCATAAATCCTTTTAATAACCCTCATCAATTCCGCAGCATTTGCCTGTCGGCTACAGATGAGTGATGATATCCAGTTATGAAGAGTGCATAAGAATTGAGTTGAAGTCAGACCAAAGCACTGTATGAAGATGATAATAAGATAGTCTCTAAGGACGCTTCAAGGGAGCAAGTCATGTCAGGACACAAATTATATTAGTCTAATACGGACCATTAAGTATGGTATATTGAGTTGTACAATTTTTAAATCAACAAGGACTTAAAACATACCATCACTCGATCATAGCGACAAAACGTTGTTTACTAAATTAAAGGTGTTCATCGAGGCGTTAATGCTTTTAAGTAACTGTAGTAAAAAGGGTATGTGTGTACGGTATAAGGACGTGTGCTACACACGTTAGTGTTCAATAAACAGTGTCTGGGAAAGTAAAAGAAAATTTAGATTTAATTTCGCGGAAAGGGAAACTTTGTTAATCGAATGTTTGAAAGAAGTTTTTAGAGCGGATGGAATTTTGTTTTTTATTTAACTGCAACAAATTATATAAATATATTACACATGAATACTTATAGTATTTCATCTATCATATCAGAACTCTATACGCAGGGGGGTGGGGGTGGGGTATTTATTGCAGACACCTCATCTCTATTTATTGCTTATTACAAGTTATTTGTTGGGGTAAAGCATCGCCGCTTTTCCATGAATTTGTTCTTTTAAATGTATTTAACGTGATATGTGTTGCCTAATAATCATAATGTCATGTAAATCGACATCTTTGGGGCATTATTTTAATAATAGAATTTTATTGTATTTGTATGTGGTATATAGAATATTTTGTTTAAAGAATATATATCTTTGACATGTGATTCACAATCCTGTAAAGCGTGTTGTAAAAACGTTTCATAAGTCGACAGTTTCTTTATATTTCATTTTACATGTGAATGTAAAGTATTTTGATTGATTGATTGATTGATTGATTGATTGTTTGGTTGGTTGATTGATCGATATATCAAAAGGTATTGTATGCATCATGCTTCATAGTCAAACAATTTACAAGTAACGAACATCTGAACGTGCCATCATTACAAGCGTGTAGGTCATAGTGTCGAAACGTATCTCATAATATTGTCGTAATAATGAACGGCATATGCAACAAAATATATTTCATATATCTAAACTGAAGCAAAATTATTAGAACAAGCCCAGCGGTTTCATGTTATAAAATATTTATTATTTTTATAATTGAAAATAAAGAAAGTCACATGACTTAGCAACGAAGGGAGTGGTGAAATAAAACTACTACGTACCCGACCATCTCAAAGTTATCCATGGGAGATTACTCTTACACAATTACAGTATGTGTGCGTGATGAAAGTGCAAAAGTGTTCAAAAAAATCAAAATTAGAAAGGTACCCATTTAAATAACTGATAAGAACGAAAAGCAAATTAATCCAAAATTGTGCAAATATGTAAGAACCATCATTTTTTTAAACACACACATATGCCGACTGGTTTTATCAATTTAGGTTATTTCTAGATGTTGTCAAACACATTTAGTTTTTCATGCAACTATATTTTGTTCAGTTCAAGTCAAACTCGAAAGTTTCCCTTTTGTCGAATCGAAAATAGCATACCTTTAAACAGGCTATTTAAACCAGTCTGGTCAGGTGGTGCAGTGTTTAACGCACTCGCCTTTCACCAAGGCGACCGGGGTTCGATTCCCCAATCGGACGTTAAAAGGTATGGGGTTCACCAGCCCGATGGCATGGGTTTTCTCCGGGTACTCCGTCAGCGCGCTAATATCCGGGCCAATAATATTGATTTATATAAGTTGAAATAACTTCAACTTTCATAATTGTTGTAAAAAAGATAAAGGTTATATTTAAACCAGCCTTTGTAAAACGCGCTGGACGCTAGTCGCAATAAAGATCTCTTAATGTACTGTATCTCTTGTTTGATTTGTGCTTCCGTGCGAAGGTGGGTCACACAATCCGCCACATTGGAGAGAACTTCATCTACATATGTACGCTGTAAGTGGTAAAAGCATATCATGCAAATTGATGATCAATAGTGCAAAACTCCATCTCCTACAATGTCTATGTAACCAAGAAAGCAGACATAACAAAGAGTCTATGACTATATTCTGGTGGTCAGTGAAAATAATCAGGACATCTCTTTAGTAGTTGATAGGAAATAATATCATAGGTATGCAAATTGATGCCCGCCATCACCGAATTGTCCAATTACTATATAACTAGGCAATCAGACATTACAATCGTGTATACATATCAAGCAATTATATCAGTGATAAATCATATGGTTTATTGTGCAAATTAGCTAATTGCAAACGAATTCCCGTGCATTCCATGTATCAATGATCAAAGATAAGGTTATTCCAAAAAATATTTCTTGATGTTAAACATTAATTAAGGGCAAAATGTTAATGCAAAATTCTTCAGCCTGGCAAAAACCTGTTTGTTTGACTAAATAATATTCATTTTAGGAGTTTGATCATCAATTGTGTTGCCAACATGCACACATTGCTATGTATATGGGATTTGCAGTATTTGCAACCAATCCTCCTGTTTACTATCTGGTATGCACACAAAATCGTTTCCAGACAACATATTTTGAGGATTTGACTCAATGTGACATCATGTGGCCTCTAGTCTTGAATCACAATGTGCGGACGAAGGAATCTACTATCTGCTGGCCCCAATTTCTTCAACGTTCCTTAACTTAACGAAATTCCTTAACTTTAACTTTATATAGGAAAGCATTATTGGATTTAAGGAAAAATTCTTAGTTAAGGAATTTTCCTTAAATTCTGTAATGCGTTCCTATGGAAAAAATTAAGTTAAAAAGTTTCCTTAAGTTAAGGAATATTAATGAAACTGGGCCAGGCCTGGCAGAGTGACCATTTCTCCAAACTATTGCTTAATAGTCCACATGCTTTAATGGGAGCGGATAAAATAACTCGTCGGGGACTTCACTTCTGTTTCCAAACCATCAACAGCTAGTGTCTGTTTTGTGTACATCATGTACTCTGCTAATTTGCGCTTCTACGGACGACATGTTCCCTCTATGAGTTCACTGACTCCCTCTTTAGAAACTTTCCGTGTAGATCGTCAATGTAGGAATTAAAGTACTTTCAAGGCCATATTTAATGCATGAAATTGCATAACTGATTTGTAGTTGAGTTTCTTGGTAGGTTGTTGAAATGCCCATCAATGGGTATATCATGCAGTTTCTTGGCGGTACAAGAAACACATTGAGGCGTTCACAATGAAAACGTAGGAAGAAGGAAACAAAAAGCGCAAGAAGCTAATGTTTCTTTGATAACACGCATTAGCTGTATAAAACTGGTTGTGCACAGAATTAAACATCGCGTCAGCTCTCAGTTTAGTCAACCTGGGTTCAGTTGTTCAAAAGGTGGTTAGCTTAATAACAGTTTAACGACATTTTTTCAACCTTTAATAATTTTGTCGATATACAAGGTAAAATCTCGCAATTGTGCATGTAAATTTATTCTGCTAAATATTTGATATCTGGAAAGTTGTGTCTAACTCTGGTTTTGTCTTAAAGATACACAAAAATCAAAATTTGCGCTAATCACTGATTAAGCTGATCACCTTTTGAACAACTGGACCCTTGTGGTTGTCTGTACGTCACAACGTCAACTTCTTCTTGGAATCCCCGGCCACTATACAGTTATAGGTACATGTACCTCCAAGATACGGACACATTTACACATTTTGACGCGATTTTACAACAATCTACCAAAAGGTTTTATCGAACAAATATGTTACCATTTCATAACTGGTTATGACACAAATGTTTTTCTTCAAAACCAAACAAAAAAGTCCCAATGGAAGGTCTTTAAAGAACATCATCAATAGCTCAAAATTTGGGAATCACGGATCTCACCGAAAACCATTCGACCTTCAGAAATATTTCTCTGCAGAATAATATGATGCATATGAAACAGACCCTGTTGATACATTTCATCTTCGATTGAAATTCGAGTGGTTACGCCCACTTACGTTCTTTGCACCCTTGCAAACGTCAATGCACGTGGCAAAGCTACTTGGTTGGTTTCAGATGAACAAAACTGACCAATCACTAGGCTGAAACATGTCCTTTATAGAATACAGAGGAGCAACACCTAACTTCAAAGCCGGTCAATTTTAAAAATACGCTGCCGGGTTAATGTACATCAAAGAAAGTGAGTGTTGCCCTGGAATTTTGGTGATGATGTAGTAATATTAAGGCTATAACTCTTCTCTGAGATAGCAAAACCAGAAGCAGAATTTGATTATATTTAATTGGATTTTTTTTTTTAAATACGGCTTGGAAAAAACGTCATTTAATTTTTTTTTAGAAAGGAATGTCATGTAAATATAATGATTTGTTCTAATACGGTGCAAATAGATAATACGCATGCAATTTCAATCGTGGTGTCTCTAAAGAAATTTTGACTCTCCTTTTTAAATGTTCAATTTGTTTAGTGAATAAACTTTATATAAAGCTCAGTCATTGTAGATTTAAAGCAGTTTATATTAGGTTGGTACAATTCAAGTCAAAGTGTTTTCGATGGAATAATTATATAAATCACCTGGATCGTTTCAACAGGGGTATTTAAATATTAGAGCGTACATGAATTTGACCCGACACCGGTAGCCGTCATTGTAAACTTCCGGTCTTTTGCACATGTGTGGAAGCGGCTGTCAACTGATACATAAATTGTCAAGCTGCTTAAAGAGCTTGTAAACAATGAGTCTGTGTGCAAGAAAAACTGCTCGGTTTCTCGGTACATTCGTTAGACTCTCAACAACGGCAGTATTTCCGAAAACCAACAATAAACCCGTGTTAAAATCAGAAGTTTTCAACAAGCGTGTCCATACCATTGGAAATGGGGAGACTGAAGTTGATATGTCAAATAGATTACTGGAGCAGTGGAGCTGTGGAGTGGAACACTTTGGAAAACTGAAAATGAATCTCCCGTTTGATACCCACGTATCTAGTCTAAATCCCCAGCTGTATCCTGACATGAACACTGTGATTATAAGGTTGTTTTATACTGCCCCTGAAATTCCATCAGGTGACGATTTACACGAATTTTTATCTGGTTTAGTTAAAATGTACGAAATAAAATTTGACACTCACAACAGTATGCGTCCAGAAGAAATCATTGTAGATGGAAGATTCAAGGCAGCGAGGCTCCCAATTGAGTGTCGTTGTGAAATACCACTTAAATTTGGTAAGAATCCAACCATAAAATGCTTAAAATAATTTTTAAAAAAAGGAAGCAAAAAAAATAACCATCAATCAGATTAATAGCAAATGTCGAGAATCATTAACCAAGTGCTCGTCAAACAGTTGTTTATATTGCAACATGAATTATTCAAGTCAAAGGAAACATTATTCAAGTAAAAGAAAACAGTCAGTTTTCATGTTGAATTGTCTCCCCCTAGACTGTCAAAATGACGGAAACTGTTAGAGGAGAAAAAAAGAAATAATCTATTGTTAGTTTTATTTAACAATTTCTCGAAAATTAGGCTAATGTTGTAATGTACATGTATTTCTCTATTTCAGATTTGGATGTGACATGCAGTGAGGGTACTACTGTTATACAAGGAATGGAGAGTGACAGTATTAGTGTGAAGGCTAAGTCGTGTACCTTTATTAGTACCAAGGTATTATTCCTATTCATTAAGGGGAAAAGACAAGACATCAATGACCTCTTGCTATTTCTGATTCTATTTGTTTTGACGTTCTGTAAAATGATTTGTCATTTTGAAAATAATATCTTAAAATATGAATACAGACGAAAAATATTGCAAATCCTTCTCACTTCCATTTTTTACATACCACAAGACTTTAAAATCTTCAGTGCTGATTGCATACTTATGTAGGTATTTTCATTTCCCAAGTTTTAGTGTCCTGTTCTTGAATAGTGCTGTGAGCACTTTCATATTTGTTATACATTTGCTCGCTGTAGGCACACATAATGGCTGTTTTCAATCCTGTGACTACTGTAAGCAATAATATTTCCCTCTGATGTGGTGTGAATTTCCAATTTTATAAGTGACTAAACACAGACTGAATCATTGAGAATATATGTTAAGTCTGTTGATTGGTAAATTTTGTTCTGGTCAATCAGCAAATATTCTTCATTTTTCTTTCAGAGTGGTTCTGTTTCTGCTGAAAGTAACGGAGGTGACCTTGTCTGTCAGAATCTTCTCCAAGGCAACCTCAACCTTCAGGCTAAAGGCAATTCAGTATGTTTCAAATGCTTATACATGTAAAGAAACAAAGATGGTTATAGACGGCTGCTGAAATTTTAGGTCACCTGAGCTTTAGCTCAAGTGACCTATTGCTATCCATCTTCGTCCGCCCTCGTCCGTTAACATTTTACAATTTCAACTTAAGCTAAAATTCTGGCAAAGGGATTTCATTAATATTTCATGGGAAGGTTACTGACATCTCCCTGGCCAAATGTTGTTATTTTTTGGGTCGATCAGAAATCCAATATGGCCGCCATTTTGAAAAACTATTCCAAACTTAAAGTCAAGTTCTAATAGGCCGATTTAACTGAAACTCAGTCTAGGAATGATCAGCTCATGGTCCTGACAAACTTAAGTTAACGTTATACTTAACTATTTTGTACTCAAATTGGTACATATTTCAACAACAAAAATAAATTCTGTAGGACTCAGGTGACCGTTAAGGCCCATGGGCTTCTTGTTTTTTTTGTATTATTTATGTCTATCTTAGCTGAGTTCCTTTCATAGTAGGTCATTTTTTGAAGGTAGTAACCCGATGTTGGAATATTTAAGAACCCAACATATGGGGGGGGGGGGGAATCTGCTTTACTCCATTTTGTTGGCGATAAACATCATTTTTTTGCCCTGGTGCTTCAACCCAAATTTTTATTCTACGTGTTTTTAAAAGTATGATATATTATTGCAAGGGGTTGGGTTATAAACTTTGGGATTGTCTTTAAATTTTATATAAAAATCCATAAATTTTACCTAATACACTTAGCCATTGTGTTAAGCTCACCTAGCTGACAGGAAGGGCTTGTGATCTTATTGTATGGTTGATGGCCCATCTGTCAACTGATTTATTTTAAAGGCTTCTTGCTGAAAACTGAAATACCCAGGGTCATTATGTTTGGAAATTAGGTACTAAGTTTCCTCATATAAATGAACTTGACCTACCTTCAGTGGATGAGAAGGAGTGTGGCATGTGTTCACGATAAGTTATACAAGTGTTTGAATTCTGTTACAGAACATTATCACAGATAGACTTCAGGGGACTGAAATCACATGCAGCACAGAGAATGGCAACATCACCTGCTCATCTGTGTACAGTAGTACGGCATCATTCACCAGTCGCCATGGAAACATTAAACTGTCGAACTGTCATGCTGATTCTCATGTCATAGTTCCTGAAGGAAATTTGACAATAGGTTGGTATCATATTTTGATTTCAAACAAATTCTATATTAAAGTCAAGTTATATTTTGTTTTAAAACTTGATTGAATTGCAAGCAAGACATCAGTATTTTGTTCTTTTATTGCAAGGGTAATATAATGATTGTCTTTTATAAATGACATAAGATATTTAGTAATAATTGTATCTATATTTTTACAGATTCTTTTGAGGGAAATTTGAATGCTGAGGTACAGAAAGGATCATCTGATATATTTATAACCAGACCTGAGAAAGTAAAAGTAAAATCTGAAACAGGTAATAAAATGCATCCAAAACTAGCAGTAAGTTCCACCAAAGCCAGGAAATAAATTACACCCATGCCAGGAAATATATTACACCCACACCAGGAAATAAATTACACCCACACCAGGTAATAAATTACACCCACACAAGGTAATAAATTACACCCACACCTATTAATAAAAAACACCCAAACCAGGTTATAAATAACACCCAAACCAGGTTATATATAACACCCAAACCAGGAAATAAAAAACACCCAAACTAGGTTATAAATAACACCCAAACCAGGTTATAAATAACACCCAAACCAGGTTATAAATAACACCCAAACCAGGAAATAAAAAACACCCAAACCAGGTTATAAATAACACCAAAAACAGGAAATAAATTGCACTCAAACCAGGAAACACCCATGCATTAATTGTAATTGAATTGCTGTACAGTTGAAACCCTTAATCAAGCAATCATTGATTACCATGTCTGTTTATCTGGCTAGTGTTTTGAAGATCAATTGACCTTTTCTATACAATTGTGTCTGAGCAATCCAGCAGTCTAACAGTCAAGCCACTTAATTTGAAATGGAATAAAGGTTGCTGGATTGTCAAAGCACGGCCATATTCAGCAAGCGTTATTTAAACTTTTGAAGATTCCTATCATTAAGATATTGAATGTGTTACTACTATGATAAATGTGTTAGTGAGACACAACTGTAAGACAATTTCAACAATATTGGGTAATTGAATTAATATTAGCAGGTGTCTGTCATCCATAACAATGGTTACATTAGCAGGTGTCTGTCATATCAAAAGTGGTGGTCACGTTAGTAGGTGTCTGTCACCAATAGTTGTGGTCACATTAGTAGGTGTATGTCACTAATATTTGGGGTCATATTAGTAGGTGTCTGTCACCAATAGTGGTGGTCACATTAGTAGGTGTCTGTCATCAATAGTTGTGGTCACATTAGTATGTGTCTGTCACCAATAGTTGTGGTCACATTAGTAGGTGTCTGTCACAAATAGTTGTGGTCAAATTAGTAGGTGTCTGTCACCAATAGTTGTGGTCACATTAGTAGGTGTCTGTCACCAATAGTTGTGGTCACATTATTAGGTGTCTGTCACCAATAGTTGTGGTCACATTAGCAGGTGTCTGTCACCAATAGTTGTGGTCACATTAGCAGGTGTCTGTCATATCAAAAGTGGTGGTCACATTAGTAGGTGTCTGTCACCAATAGTTGTGGTCACATTAGCAGGTGTCTGTCACCAATAGTTGTGGGCACATTAGTAGATGTCTGCCATCGATTGTGGTGGGCACATTAGCAGGTGACTGTCACCAATAGTTGTGGTCACATTAGCAGGTGTCTGTCATCAATAGCTGTGGTCACATTAGTAGGTGTCTATCACCAATAGTTGTGGGCATATTAGTAGGTGTCTGCCATCAATAGCTGTGGGCCATCAGTAGGTATCTTGTCACCAATAGTTGTAGGCACATTAGTAGGTGTCTGCCATCAATTGTGGTGGGAAAATTAGCAGGTGACTGTCATCAATAGAGGTGGTCTCAGAAACAGGTGTCTGTCATCAATAGTGGTGGTCTCAGAAACAGGTGTCTGTCATCAATAGTGGTAGTCACATTGCTAGGTTTCTGTCACAAATAGTTGTGATCACATTAGTAGGGGTTTGTCACCAATAGTGTTGTCACATAAGTAGGTGTCTGCCATCAAAAGTGATGGGCACATTCGCAGGTGTCTGTGACTAATAGTTGTGGTCACATTAGCAGGTGTCTGTCATCAGTATTGGTGGTCACAGTAGCAGGTGTCTGTCATCAATAGCAGGTGTCACATAAGCAGGTGTCTGACATCAAAAGTGGTTGTCACATTAGCAGGTTTCTGTCATCAATAACGATGGTCACATTAGTAGGGGTTGTCATCAATAGCGGTGGTCACATTAGCAGGTGTCTGTCATTAGTAGTGGTGGTCACATTAGCAGATGTTGTCATCAATAGTGGTGGTCACATTAGCAGTCGTTATCAATAGTGGTTGTCAAATTAGCTGATGTCTGTCTTCTATATAGGTGGTTTCATAAACAGGTGTCTGTCATCAATAGTAGTGGTCACATTAGCAGGTGTCTGTCATCAATAGTTGTGGGCACATTATCAGGTGTCTGTCATCAATAGTTGTGGGCACATTACCAGGTGTCTGTCATCAATAGTGGTGGTCTCAGAAACAGGTGTCTGTCATCAATAGTGGTAGTCACATTAGTAGGTGTCTTTCATCAATAGCAGTGGTCACATTGCTAGGTTTCTGTCACAAATAGTTGTGATCACATTAGTAGGGGTTTGTCACCAATAGTGTTGTCACATAAGTAGGTGTCTGCCATCAAAAGTGATGGGCACATTCGCAGGTGTCTGTGACTAATAGTTGTGGTCACATTCGCAGGTGTCTGTCATCAATAGTGGTGGTCACAGTAGCAGGTGTCTGTCATCAATAGCAGGTGTCACATTAGAAGTTGTCTGTCATCAAAAGTGTTGGGCACATCAGTAGGTGACTGTCACCAATAATTGTGGGCACATTAGTAGGTGTCTGCCATCAATTGTAATGGGAACATAAGCAGGAGTCTGTAATCAATAGTGGTGGTCTCAGAAACAGGTATCTGTCATTAATAGTGGAAGTCACATTAGCAGGTGTATGTCACCAATAGTCGTGGTCACATTAGTAGGTGTCTGTCACCAATAGTTGTGGTCACATTAGTAGGGGTTGTCATCAATAGTGGTGGTCAAATTAACAGGTGTCTGTCATCATCAGCAGATAGTTGTAGGCACATTAGTAGGTGTCTGCCATCATTTGTAGTGGTCACATAAGCAGGTGTCTGACATCAATAGTGGTGGTCTCAGAAACAAGTGTCTGTCATCAATAGTGGTAGTCACATTGCTAGGTTTCTGGCACAAATAGTTGTGATCACATGAGTAGGGGTTTGTCACCAACAGTGTTGTCACATAAGTAGGTGTCTGCCATCAAAAGTGATGGGCACATTTGCAGGTGTCTGTGACTAATAGTTGTGGTCACATTAGCAGGTGTCTGTCATCAATAGTGGTGGTCAAATTAGCAGGTGTCTGTCATCATCAGCAGTGGTCACATTAGAAGTTGTCTGTCATCAAAAGTGTTGGTCACGTTAGCAGGTGTCTCATCAATAGCAGTGGTTGCATTAGTAGGTGTCTTGTCATCAATAGCTGTGGTCACATTAGTAGGTGTGTGCCATCAATAGCTGTGGGCACATCAGTAGGTGACTGTCACCAATAATTGTGGGCACATTAGTAGGTGTCTGCCATCATTTGTAGTGGTCACATAAGCAGGTGTCTGTCATCAATAGTGGTGGTCTCAGAAACAGGTGTCTGTCATCAATAGTGGAAGTCATATTAGCAGGTGTATGTCATCAATAGTTGTGGTCACATTAGTAGGTGTCTTTCATCAATAGCAGTGGTCACATTGCTAGGTGTCTGTCACAAATAGTTGTGATCACATTAGTAGGTGTCTGTCACCAATAGTGTTGTCACATAAGTAGGTGTCTGTCATCAAAAGTGATGGGCACATTAGCAGGTGTCTCATCAATAGTGTTGGTTGCATTAGCAGGTGTCTGTCATCAAAGTGGTGGTCACATTAGTAGGTGTTTGTCATCAATAGCGGTTGTCACAAGAAGGTGTCTGTCATCGATGATTGCAGTGATCACATTAACAGGATTTCTGTCATCAATAGCGGTTGTCACATTAGCAGCTTTCTGTCATCAATATTGGTGGTCACAGTAGCAGGTGTCTGTCATCAATAGCAGGTGTCACATAATCAGGTGTCTGACATCAAAAGTGGTTGTCACATTAGCAGGTTTCTGTCATCAATAACGATGGTCACATTAGTAGGGGTTGTCATCAATAGCGGTGGTCACATTAGCAGGTGTCCGACATCAAAAGTGGTTGTCACATTAGCAGGTTTTCTGTCATCAATAGCGATGGTTACATTAGTAGGGGTTGTCATCAATAGTGGTGGTCACATTAGCAGATGTTGTCATCAATAGTGGTGGTCAAACTAGCAGGTATCTGTCATCAATAGTAGTGATCACATTAGCAGGTGTCTGTCATCAATAGTGGTGGTCACATTAGCAGATGTTGTCATCAGTAGCGGTGGTCACATTAGCAGGTTTTGTCATCAGTAGCGTTGGTCACATTAGCAGGTGTTGTTATCAAAAGTGGTGTCCATATTGGCAGATGTCTCTTTTATGGATATATCTTTCATGATGTACACACCTTAGCTAATGTCGTTCATCGGTAGTGGTTTAGTTAAATCACAGTTTCATAATTAGGTATCCAAAATTATTGTTACTTGGTACATATTTTTTTTTTTATTTCTGTTTTAACGAGTCATTGTTATGTGTGTTGAGAAGTTGCTAATTTATTTTAAGTAATACAAAAATGTGACAGGTTTTCATGGTAAAATATACAGAACTGTATATTTGTTAAGGTTACCAGAAAACTTGTTACAGTAGGTTGCTTTAGATTTTCATTTGTCTTTCTATTAATTGCATGCAGGCCAATGCTTTGGTACAAGTAAGCATAATGAGCTTCAGCTGTCATAGATAGATGTTTGTTTTCCTTGTTTCAGGTGATATTAGTATACGAGTAGACAAGACAATTAATTCTGAATTCGAGCTACAAGGTAGAACAGTAACTGTTGATGACACATTGGGATTCCAAGAGGAGAGCTCTAAAGGAAGCAATCAGCAGAATGTAGTGAAAGGCAAGTAGAACCAATCCCGAGTTTGCCAAATGCTGTGTACAAACAATCACATCTGGGCATACTATGATGTTTTATTAACATAATTGGATGTATTTTACTTTAATTATAGCATTTTGAATCTGGTAATTCATCAGTGTAAAAGAATTTTGTGATCCAATGGTACAAAGAATGGAAGATAAAGTGGGTATTTTGACTACCAACATACATGACTGTGTAGATGTATAAATTATGAAGTTAACAGTAAGAGGTATGTTTGGATAAAAAAAAAAACTTCTACAAAAGTGGATTTTTAGCTCACCTGTATTGAGTGGGGTATACCATGGTCTGGGTTGGGTATAATGGTTTCTATGCCGTAGATTTCAAGTGGTATGGCACTATGATTGAGCCGAAGGGGGAAAAAACTCCATAACTAGCAGAAAATTCATACACCTTCAACACACATACAGGATATGCATACCCTCATTATAATATAGGTCTCATAAGTAATAAGGACAGTATGATCCAATATTGGCACTGGATTCAAACAAACAACTGTTGGTGGATGCCTATTACTTAAAAAGATATATTTACAAAGAAGTAATAAGGACAGTGCAGACAAAGACATTTGTCAAATTGTCAGGGCATTTTACCCCCTTTATCAAGACAGAAGCATGAACATCTGCATATCACAATAAACAGTTAGATATTGTGATATGCAAATGTTCATGTTTCTGTCTGGATAAAGGGGCAGATTGCCCTGAAAATAAGAGAAATGTCTTTGTCTGCACTGTCGTTATTACCTCTTTGCCCATGTATACCCTCATTATAATAGAGGTACATGTAAAAATAAAATGATCACACAGTAAGATGTGCTCGAGTAAGCTAGGCTCCTCTCTCACTCTCCTGATAGTTTGTTAAACCCTTTCATCCCTATCTACCTTTAGTAAACTCTACCATGCATTAATCTAGATGAGTCCATTATGGTCTACAGTGGTGAAAGGGTTGATATCAATTGTCTTGAAAAGTTAACGTCCTCGAGGTTAGAAAGGGAGCAATATGTCAATGTTTATATACCCGTAGTAATAAACGATTGTCTAGTTCTAATCCTAATTTTTCTCATCGTCTTCCATTCAGATAAAGAACTTCCAAGTTTGATGCTTAAACATTTGTGCTTTCACAGGATTGCTCTTCTATTTACAGGCAGTATGAATGGAAGCCAGGCCATGATTTCAGCAGAAACCTCAGAAGGATGTGTAAACGTTAAACAACAGGACTGGTTCCAGTCTCTCAATCTCAAGTTTCAATCTGGATAGTGTATCAGAGAATCAAAAACCACCAACAATAGCAAATTATCATAAACCAGAATATGGTACTTCATGCTATGCCTTGGTGCTAGTACATGTACAATCTATGTATATGTCTATTTATTTTCAATTTCAGTTCAGCATATATATGGTACAAAGAATTTGAATAAATATGAGTTATACATTGATGTAAGTGTTAGATCAACAATCTTATTTAAGATGATCCTGTGAGATGTGGAAATGTACAAATGTTTGTTTGTTTGAAATAAAGTTTAGTTGAAATCTGTTATTTGCAATTTTTCATACAACAATAATAATTGAGTGTCATTTAGTACATCATTAACGCCAACATTGAGGCCATTTATATATTTTACATATGCAAACCACTGTCAACTTATTTGATTTGTAGGTCTCCAAATATGTTCAAGGTCAAAGGCCAAAATCCAACAGCCTCGTAAGAGAAGAATTATTATCTTGAAAGATTCAGTTACAGTATAAATTTTTAAACTACACACATCATCTTGCATCACAAGTAAAAGATGCCATGTATAGTTAATTAAAGAAGGCTGGCGATGTGTACTGAACTCAATAGGTCATTATATCTGTGTATTCTTCTTGAAACCTGCTTAGTTGTTTGGGATGAAACGTAGATTAAAGCAAATCAGCAAATTTGACCCCTTTTGACCTGGTCCCTCAGGTTATTGAAAAATAATTGTCTAAAGATTTTAAACATACCGGTATTTGATCCCTGTGACCTTGAATAAGGTCAAGGTCATTCATTTAAACAAACTTAGTATCCCTTATCCCACCATTCTAATTGGCATCTACCATCACCTTTGGACCAGGTAAGCTCAAATAAACCCACAAAAATAAATTCCACAATTATTATTTTTTTGTTTAATTAAAGTATAACAATAGCATGAATTCACATATTGATTAAAAGCAACAACAGTTTCAGTACTCTCTGGCTCACCAAGGTTTGCCCTGCTACCTTCATTTCATATGCATGTGAGCTCAAACTTTCTTTGAAACCAAACAGTCAATTTTCAACCAATTACCATCCAACTGTGTCGATGATGTAGTCTGGATAATGTTCAAACACTGTTCCTGGTAATATGCATGTGACACAGTTCCATTGAATCAAGACATTATTTAAATTGCCCATTCAATAAGTAATCATCACCTTCTCTCTGCGAAGCACTTTTATGTCATGATACCATTTCCTTAACAGCGACATTCGGTATAGATACAGAAATCGAAACAGTTCTGTTAAAACAAAGTTGAACTAAAACAATAAATTCAACACTGTTCATCCCAATAGGGCTGCAAGTTTGTGTTCCATCACAAAGCTGATAAGATGGGTCAGCTTAAGATATCCCGGAATGGCTTTTTAGAGTTTGCACTAATTCCCTGCATTTCCCGGAGTCCCTGAAAATGATAATGGACCACTGTAGGTAAAAACAGTAAATGCTTGAAAAATGAAAATAAATTTGCCTTGCAGTATTTTTAAAATACATCATTAGTTTATTTTTAAATGTCTTTGTAAGAAACATTACACATTCATCATAAAGTTACTTGATGCAATAGGTACAGTATCACTCCTAAAATGTTAGTGACGATTTTCATTACAATAACAGAGGTCTTAACGAGATCGCTTACTTCCATGACAAGTTTGATGTGAGCTTTCACTTTGGCAACATCTTTGCTGGTCTTCTCAACTTGTTCATTCAACCTGGCTGTCTTTTTACCAATAAATCTGAGGGCTTCTTCCATCTTAAACTCCACGAAAAACCCAAAGCCCACACTGACATATATCCTTGAGGCATCTGGTCTGAAGTTAAAAAAAATCATTAATCATAATAGGGGAGGTAAAAGAAACCTTATTACTCATTCTCTCAAATACTGCAGAATTAACTTTAAGAACAATGACACTAAAGCATTACAGAGCCCCAACCAACAACCACCATAGTGTGAAAAGTGTCCATCTGTTGAAAAGGTTTTTTAATACCAAGACAAGTATTGACCTTTGACCCCTTCGATTCTGTGACCTTACTATTGAGATTAGATCCAAGAGAGGTACACAACACTGTATAGTCATGATGCATTATGAAGTTTTATATAAAAAGAATATGAAGCAATTTGAAAAGTTATTGCTTAGAATTAAAATGGAAGTTGACATTTGACCACTATCAGTTAATTAAGGATACACATCAGTGTACTGTAGTTACAAGGAAAACAAAGTTTATGAATTCAGATACAAAAATAGTTTGTACACTACGTTCAAGATGCATCTTTGGAGTTTTATAGCAAAGAAAAATCATGATATTTAGACAGTTCATGAAATATAAGTACCCCGGAACAGCACATCTTACTTACACATTTGCTTGTACGTAAAAGTTACACCCAATATCAACTTTTGTCTTTAGTTCATCTTTGGTATAATCTGCATCCTGTAAATTAAAAATAAGAGATAAGTAATTAAGGCTCACAAACCTCTTCTGTACCGGGTATTTAAATTGAGTCTTCACTTTCTCTTTTGCAATCAAATTGAAATTTGTTCTAAATTGATATAAAACATTTGGTTCAATTATGAATTTCCAGTCTTAAGAACAAACAAGTGTTGACAAAAACAAATTATGTCACAGCCTTCTTGACCTTGATAAGTGATCCCTGTGTTGTTGTAACAAGTTTGTTGATAATGAATTCAATGATTTCAACGAAAAACAAATGTATAAACGTTACAGAAAAGTTTACCATCACGCTATTAGCATCAATTATGCATTGCTTTTAATTTTGTACTTACCTTAATTCTTTCTATAACTGTCTTCAACTGTAAATATTCTGCAATCTGCCCATACAGTTTATCCTGCTGCTCCAACAGTTTTCTGTTGATACAAAAAGTGAATTAGTGCAGACCAAAGCATGGATTATTTATCAAGCTTTTTGAAACAATTATTTTTGAAAATGGGAGTAAATATATTGTTCATGCAAGTTAATCATTTTTCATCTTTTTATTACTACCAACACAAAAGACAACATCCAAATATTGACACAAATAAACTTAATTGTTTTCTATAGACAAGGTATTTATAACAGTGTTTTAATTTTCCAAATTTGTTGTAAAAAGTTTGGGTGAAATTTATACATTGATCAGGAATTATTGGACATTATTTTTCAAGGGAAGGGTAATTGACAGATCATCTACCTTAGGAACAGCTTGTAATTCCTTGGATTGGATTATTTTGCTGTATACAGTGCAGCTCAGTAGAAGTGTCACTTAACTTTTGTAATATTTGATTTCATTTGGCAATGTGTTGTAATGAAAATTAATAACCATTCCCAGGCCTGAAATTACATAGTACTTTCATTCAACTAACAATGCCCCCTGACACTCTACCAAACATACAATGTATATCACTTTCAGAGTGGAACTATTCTTGAGCTGTGGCCAATGGTAGCAAATAGAAAATTGTGGCAAACTGAGAAATAAGGACATGGCTCTTTCATCATGGACATCTCGATCTGGTGATGTTTTAATTAAGGTGATTATATATATCTATATTGCAATATTATCTAATATATCAAAATTGGTTGGTAATTAACATCCTTATGATGTACTCATTTAATTTCATTTGTATGATTGGTCATGACAGAATTATTTAACGTGTCGATGTGAAAACTTGAAAGTCTATTTCACATAACAATATGTACAATTTTGGATTAATCCTTCAAATATCTACAATTCTTTCATTCACTACATACACACACACACAACCAAACACACACAATACAACACAGGGGTTCGTTACAAATGTCTGAAATACAAATGCTATACTTAAACTTAACATATATGTGTAGTTGTAACGAACCCCTGTGCACACACCAGAATTACTGTTCCATGTCTTTAAAGGAATTCAGAAGGAAACTGCTGTTTTATTTTTTAACAAGAGAAATTAAGTTAAAAGGTTACATTCTTCTTTGTGATCATTTAACTTTTAATCCTCAGTTTTCTCAAAACTGTAACATGCTTGAGTTAGAATTATATTACGTTCATCTGGCTCCATGCGATCTGAAAAGCACGAAGTAGGATGCAGTTCATTTTGGACCAGATGTTGTAATATTTATAACCAAACTAATTCAAATGACTTAATAGGTCTTCTGTAAAGTCATCTATTAATATTACCTCAAATCCTCTCTTAGTGTTTCGTTTAGAAAGGATTCATAGGCTAACACTTTCTCCGGAATAGTGTCGCTCATGTTTCCTCTTTGTATGTTAGAACGCGCGCACCTGTTCCGGTACAACTTTTTCACGACATTAAAATTTTATATTTTGCATTTGTTCTCGTAAAATATTGTTATTTTTCTCTCTTTCAAACATTTTTTTTTGGTAAATTAAGTGTGCAAAAAGATATTTATTGATCTTTATAAGCAACCAATCAATCTTTTAAATGTCGTGACAAATCTAGAATCACTTTCTGATAAAGCCGCAGCAATGGCGGAACTACTGCTGGACTCAAACATTAGGTTTTGGGTTTTCTTACCCATAGTAGTGATCACTTTCTTAACTGGAATCATCAGACATTATGTCACGATACTATTATCATCGGAGAAAAAGACTGAACTACAACAAGTGTCAGATAGGTCATTATACTTGTAAAATTAAGATACCAATTCACGTTTCGGTACTCCCCCGTTTCGATCTTTTTATAATATTTTCTGTACTGACGCTTGAAGTTTTAGCATGGTTCACTGTTTGTGTCCTGAGTGTTGTTTATTTCATATTTTCATAATCCTACGCATTTGTATATATATATATCCAAAAAGTACCGAAACATCCTAGTTTTTAGCATAGGGACTTGTAAAAAAAATATATATATATACGAGCACACACAATGATCTAGCATTATGCGTGTTAATATATTAGCCATGTATTTTCATATATTTGTTACAAGCCTCTATGGTCTTAGCGAAACAACCGGGTACCGAAACGACTTTGATTCACCAAGTCATTAGACATAATTTCTCAGTCATACGTAAACCATCGCAGGCATATGCGTCTGGTATCATAGGTGCTGGTCACATTGTTATGATGTATATATATTTCATATTGTATAGTATATATACAGATCATGTTAGTGTGTTCAGCAACTGTGTCTGGTATGTGAATATGAGAAAAATTAAAGTAGTGGTCACACAGCTGTACCCTCTGGTTTTAATGTTAACCCGAGTTTTGCTGATTGTTTGCAACATAAAATATTTATTTTTCAGTATATCTTCTGGATAGCCCGAGTTTCCTCTGGCCATGACACCAGACTTGACATTTTGACAGATATATGTCTAGTGTGGGGCCAGAGCAGACTGCTATATCAAAACGGAATTCTCCGACACCGTTTGTCGTCGGAGAGTTTTGAGGTGCTGACAAAACAAATTGACTGACACAACACATACCTCACATATATCGATAAATGGTTTATTTATTGATCCAAATCTGCTCTTATTATCCGCACAGCTGCTAAATTCCGTCAATAGAGTCCTCGCAATCGGTTTACAATTGTTCAGGGTAGAGACTAATCAATAAAAGAGGCTGTCCGAAAATTTTCTAAACAAGAATGATTATATTCCATTTTCGGTCAAGATCAGTACAGCTTGTTGATTAGTCAATAGATAATCCATTCATCAATATATGTGTTTTGTCATAGTCAATTTTTGTTGTCAGCACCTCAAAACTTCCACGTTTATATATAGCAGTGCACTCTGGCCCCACACCAGATACCTATCTGTCTAAATGTCCAAGTCTGGTGTCATGGCCAGAGGAAACTCGGGCTAAACTTCTGGAATGTGTGATATTTTTTCCTTACAACTGATGTGTACAAGTATATTAACAAACTAGAAAGTCACTTATGAATGTTTTGCTTTATTTCTTTTTGCAGTCATGCACTCATCCGCAGCAGGATGTTGAGAGAAAATGGGAAATATATTCCAAAGCAGGTTTGTATTATTGAGAACAATCTATTTGCTTGCCATTTGTGACATTTTGTGATAATAATTTTTCCAACCGGGTATATTTTGCCACTTTCCGTACATATATTATAGTATACATTTACAAGTAGAGTTTCATTATTACCTTGTATGCAAGGAAACAGATCTTCCTACAATAATTTATACTATTGAAATAACCAAACTATGAAAATTTGTGCTAAAACACTGAAAACCTGTAAAGAGCTAGTTTTCAATACGACTAAAATATTTTGACATATTTACAGTGATGTAGTCTAAACTCAACCGAGAGCTTACAATATTTAATGTAATTACATAAAAAAGCATGCACATTTTGATACGATCATGAACACAAAATGACCTAAATTTGTCTCATTAGGTTTGGTTTAGTGATGTTTCTCTGATTCAGAGATCATGTACGTACATGCCAATAATTGTATTTTTATTGCAGAGTTTTCTGATGCGCAAACATTTTTTCAATCATGAAAATGATGGATTTTTCCTGAAGGAGAAACGTGAAGGTGTTGCAAAGAATCCAATGACAGGTTGGTTGTTTATATTTCAATATTTGTTCATTCTTGAAAAAAAATATGCAGACTACCGGTAGGTCATGTATTTTCTACAAAAATGCCACTTAGTGACAGGCAGGATCAAAACGACTTTAAAGACTCTGATTGTGCATCAAGACAGATTTGTGAAAACAGTTTTATCAGTTAATGCTGCATCATTTATACCCAGTGAGTAATTTTTAGCATTTCTGTAGGTACACATGTACTGTAGTATTTCTTTTACATAATTTAACCATATAAATTTTAAAATAAAATATAATGATCAGGCCTTTGAGTTACAGTCCCACAGCACACCAGATACAGCAAAACAACCACATTTGTATTTTTTCATTTTTTGTATTGGAGAAATTGATAATTTTGAGTGACTGTGTTGATTCGTCTTACAGATCCTAACATGATGACAGACATGTTGAAAGGCAATGTTACCAATGTATTACCTATGATTGTCATCGGAGGCTGGATCAACTGGGCTTTCTCAGGATTTTTAACAAGTATGTGGTGGTATAATGAATTGATATGTTAATTATGGTATACAGTATATACATCTGTTTTATATGGCGATATAATTCCCTTTAAGAATATTTCCAATTGGGCTAAAAGGCATGTAACCTAATTATTGCATATAGAAGCTCATAATTAAGCGGGTGTAGATGAAAGTAAAAAGTCAAGAACATAATATATAACCAGGGTATAGGTTTCCTAATACGTTTTTACCGTTATTTTTTTTTATTATTTTTTTTTAAGTACCAAGTAGAGACATGAAATTACTGTCTTCAATCAAATCAAATACCTCGATGGAAAATCAGTTTGAGTTACTTGAATTCACCCCATTTCAAAAGCTTTGAAATAAAATAGGACTGTTCTTAAACTGACCAGTCATAGAAATAACTTTTTTCATAGATGTACATGGATCATAGTTGACAGATATTCTTAATCAAATGAGACTCAATGTAAACTTCATCCCTCTCTATTTTCCAGCAAAAGTGCCATTTCCATTAACCCTTAGGTTCAAACCTATGTTACAAAGAGGGATAGAGCTGCAGTCACTGGATGCATCATGGTGAGTGGCCAAATCTTGGCAGTAAGTCATACTGTGTAAGACAATTTAGTACCAAATCATCCTCAGCGATTTATACGGGCTGCTTAAGTGAACAGTGTACGTTGTTGATCTGACTTGCTTCCAAGATACTAACTGATATAAGTCACATTATTAATTTGACTTTATTTGAAAACCAATGTGGCAGGACTTGTGTACTCAAAACAAATTTTAGAAACTATGTTTGTTTTACATATTTGATTGCAATTCTTGATGGAAGATTGATTTTCTTGACAGGGTTAGTTCAGCATCGTGGTATTTCCTGAATGTGTTTGGTCTTCGAAGTATGTACACACTTATACTTGGACAGGATAACGGTACGTGTGGTTTTGCCTATTAGAAGGTGGTTGTTGGTAATATATGTTTACATATCTAATACAAAAATTGATCAAGTCCTTGTGACAGGAAAATAATACAAACAATTAAAAATCACAAGAAGAATGATTCTTGAGGCCTTTCGTTGCTATACAGCTCTCCTGCAGTAGCTTTTTAAGATTTTTTTTTTTAGTTTCATAACAGAATGTCAAATGCAATCTAAGATGGATTTAAATATATGCAATGATGTAGATTTTGTCTCCAAAAATCCAAGGCAGATTCATATAGTACACTGGTAATAGATTATGCTGTTAAAATCTGTAAACTAGGGCAATATTGACTGCAAGGCCATGAAACAGACAAGATATAAAGAATTATATTGTGGATAGTTGAGCTCAACTTTCCAGAAAAGAAGATGATATTTCAGTCAGACACCTTAAATACCCCATTACATAATGTGTTTCTTCTGAAATTTACTGTTTTTAACAAATATGGGGACTAAACTTGGTCAACATGATATCGGTAACTACGAAAAGAGCTTACAGGTACATGTTCTTCCAAAGCATATCATTTTTAATTTGAATTTTCTTTTACACAGCTGCTGACCAAACCAAGGCGATGCAGGAACAGATGTCGGGGGCCGGGATGATGACCCCACAGGACCCCATGAAGGCCTTTAAGTCTGAGTGGGAGTCGTTGGAGGTGAGCACACACAACTGGTGCTTGGCCGGCGTAGAAGAGGAGCTCATTGACGGACACATACAGCCAGAGACCATTTACATCAAAAATAAATACTCTTAACTACAACATTGATGGACATTTTCAGTTGTTTCCCTTTGATTGTTGACCTAGTTTGTCAAATTTCCCCATTCTGACAGATCCTAACACATGCATGAGTTTTTCATATTTTGCTTGTTTTCATGGCGTTGAATACCTTCAAATATATTGTAAATATATCGGTAGCGTGAGATATTTCACATACAAACATGTTATTCCTCCCACAAATACCAAACCATTGAGAATTTTGACAGTTAAATGACAACTTTCTTGTGCTTTATAATAAGTAAAGTCATGGCTGGAGCAAGAGTAATTGCCATCAGTCTATTCCATATGAAACGTCAATTGTATATCCATCAGTGTGGTATGTCTACAACATTGAATGTTCATAAACTTGTCCTTCATATAAGCAACTTTATTTATTTCAATAACACCAAGTTGAATGTGATGAATTGCATTGTTTGTGCCGTCAGATTGGTGCTACATTGTATTATGGAATTGTACTCTACACAATTTCAGGTGTCTATTTCATCATTGTCATTAGTTTTGTCCATTTGGTATTTGTGGTATTATGTTGAGAGTCAGTTTGTATGTTGTGAGTCTGATTGTAATGCATGAAATAAGGAAAATGATATTAATCAGAAATTGTATTCAGGAATTTATTTTGTCCTTTGGATAAATTCCACCTGGAAAAGAAAACAATTTAAAATTTCGTTTCCGTCTTTAATTGAAGTATTACATTTGCAAATCAACATTCAATATGCAATATTTTAATCTAAGATGAAAATGCAATTTAAATTGTTTTTATATGGATATTGTGTTATTTTCTGTGCAGTTATTCTTAAAGTAGCTAATTGTGAAGCACTTGAGGTTTATTCAAGCCATGAAGTTTTTGCATTTAATAGGGACTAAATTTTGTTTGTTGGAAAACAGAATACACATACTATTTCCAAGGAGCATCAATAAAAGAATATTGTAAAATTCAGCAACTTGAAGATATAATAAATATCTTTTAAAAGTGTAACGAGATTTTCTTTATTTTGTTATTCAGCAAACTATATTATACATGTCCATTAAATTCTGTCACTAGTGTCAGGAATCACATGTATGATGTATCTCATTTGATCTTTCTATCACAATCCTTGGCTATGAAGAATCCCCCCATTACTGGTAGCAGAAACGCACTAAAGCAATTGTGCTTTCCACTACGTAACTGCTGCCGCGTGATAGTCTCAACTTGGTATACTGGAAAGAGACTGGAAGATTACACTACCAAGGGCACTCCTAGAGGCATACCATTTCCCAAAAAGCATTTCCTTTAGTAAAGGTAACAGGAAGAAGTCACAGGGACATAGATCTGGTGAATAGGGTGGCTGGTCAATCTGTACTACCTTCCCTAGCTTCACAAATGCCTAAACAATATTGCTTTTGCTGGATGAAGCTTTGTTGTGAATTAGCTTGATGTCATTTACTTTACTTAGATGCTTTTTCATGTAGATACTTTAGACAGGATTCAGTTCTTTGTTTCTGTAAAATTTGGCAGTGATAGTTTTCCTGGTATCTGAACCATAGGCCAACTAGAATTGAAAAAGATGGCATACACAAATTTCTTGGCACCTTTTATAAGTCTTGCAATCACTGGACTTTCTTGATTTCTCTACAACCATTGCTTGTAATTAATGCGCCTCTGGTGTTCAAAGTAATACACCCAGGTCTCATCCCCTGAAAGTAACTCGGATAATGTTCTTGAGTCGCAACTAACGTACTTTTTAAATATATTTTTAGCACAATTTTAAACGTTTGGTCAGATGTCAGCAAATGAGGGAAATACAATCTATTGGACCTTGAAATCTAAAATTCGAAATGAAATGTATAAAAATTTCAAAATCAATCGGACCTTTTGAGCTACGCAGCTACATGTAGTGTCAATGGATATTTGAGAAATAGGAGCACCGTGAACAACAGGAGCAAACCATGAAAATTTGAACTCAAAACCACTGGTATATTATTAACATTTTTAATCAGTCTACATTAACTTAATATTGTGATATACCAATTACTGTTAAACGGATTGTAAATCAATATTTTACGATATGTGCTAGGCGAATATTGACTCAAACTCATTGTTGTAAAATGTCATAAAGCTACTTGTACCTATAGCAACTGGTACATCTTGATAACTCACCGGACTCGGTGTACTTTTTTTGTACATATGTACAACAATTACATAATTTCACACTATAATCATGTATGAGGTTTTTTCTCAGAACTTATATTGAACAACCAGCAGTGAAACATGAAAGTTGGTTCAAAGGCAAGTTATAGGATTTGATAGCAAACAAAAATTCCCAATGCATGCAGTGTCAGAATTACAATGCAAACATATCTAATATTCATTTCATAAATTTGAACCTTTGCAATTAAGTTATTTGAAATTCAATACCAACACGATAATATGTAAAAGAAATTTTTTAACGAAGCTTTAAACAGAATAAGGAGACCAATCAAAGTGTTCTTTTACAAGCACTCCAGCGTTTGACATGTTTTCCACTGCCAAATCTACAGGTGAGATTAACCCTTCTGTAGAGCTAGCACAAAGGTCGCAGTTCCTGGTCTCTCCAAACTGCATGTATGACTGCATACAGTCTCGACACCTTTTAACATAGTTGCTGTCTCTTGCTCCACATAAGCTCAAGTCTACAATAAACTGGACTGGGTCATTTACAAAGTTTTGACACAAAGCTGAGGAAGAAACTCGTACACAGCTGGTGGTTGTACATCCTCCAATTACGATAGTGTTGACTTTCTTCTCCAGCATACTTTTAACCCAAGATTCAGCCCCGTCTGCTTCCATGATGTTGGTGTCATATTTATAGACCACAGGATAATTTCTTTCTTCAAACAATCCCTTCACACTGCTGTGAAACGCTCTGTCTTTTGGATTGGTAAAGGGACACTGGGTCAGAAGCACAGGAACTGTAGGCAAGAGCGATTCAACTAGTTTCTTGCAATTCTCGAAAGACTCTTTTATACGCTGGACACTTACAGGTTTGGACCAGGAGCCCAAGACGAAAGAATGCTGAATGTCTATAAGAATAACTGCTATCTTGCCTACTGGCTTACTGTGAGTGAGTGAGGCACACATTTCACTAAACACTTGCTGTTCTTCTCAGTCAGTGGGCTCTAGAAAATCAACAAGAATAACTTTATTAATTCAATGCAGTTTTGTAACCTCATTCAGGGTTATGGGGCATCAGTTCATGTTGGGTGGCAGATCATTAAGAAATCTTGTATGCAAGGTGAAGGGCAGATTCTATATTAATAGTATAAATACAGAGATCTGATGTTACTTTATTAAAAGGAAAATCTCGTTATATACATAAAGAGATTTACATTACATACATGTTAAGTTTACAAAAATTATCATTTTTAAAGATAAATAATCTAAAAATGAAGCACTTTTAATTTGAACCTTTTGGTTTTCCATATACATCATCTTGTTTTAGAAGTGATAGCTGCATTGGAAATATAGAAATCTGTAATTGAAATAGTGAAATCTGTATTTCAGAGATATATCTGGTTAAGAACATATTATATCTCTGAAATGCAGAAATCTACTTCATTTGAAACAGATATACTTCTATCAAGAAATAAATATGCACAGCTACCAGGATTTGCCCTACACTTTGTAAACTTATTCCCTGGCACATAGCTTTTAAATGGTTGTGATCCCTACCCCTATGCTACAATGATTGGCCTTGTGATCTGCCTCCCCCTTGTTGATTAGTCTCTGGTTCATAACAAGGAAACATTTGAGATCCACGCCCTATCTGGCTGAACATGAAGAATTGGATATAGTAATGTATATTGCTCCTGGGGACTGTCCGGCCCTGTCCTAGAGATCTTGCTTTTAATGAGAACATTTGCCATAATTGCTACTGCATGCTAGTAAAAAAGTATGTCGATCGTTTCGTAGCATTCTTGTTTTTATTTCACTTTATTCCCCTTTTCCGTAATACAATTGTTACTCAAATGGGTAACTGTTACCCAAATGCAGGATTATTACCCATATGCGCCGTTGTGCCCAACCTGTTAATATAACATATATTTTGGGGTCTATGACAGGCGACCGATCAGAATTTTTGAGCCTGCGATTATGGTCAGTTTTAGCGGACTAACCGTCAATAGCCAACCACCATACAGGCCCTAATGGCCTCTTGTGTAATTGTCATTCCTAGTGATGTAAGGAACATTTTCACCGAGTATTAACCTAAAACCATAGAATGTGACAGAGGCTACACCCATGGCCACACACTGGATGTGGTCATAACGAGGGAAGATAACTCAGTCATTCATGGAGCTATTTCAGTGATTGATCCATGTCTAAGTGATGTAAAGGGGAACCAATCCGGTGATCATCTTGCTGTCCACACAACACTGAATTGTAGTAAGCCAGCTCGTATAAGGAAAGAAGTGAGCTTCCGGAAATTCCGCGAAATTTCAATACCAGATTTCAACAATGACATTCAGTCTTGTCCGCCCTTCAATCTACTGAAGGCGAGGTTGACGATCTTGTTGAAGCATACACATTTGGTATAGAAGCCCTTATAGAGAAACACGCACCTCTGCAAACTAAGGTGATAACTGTGAGACCAAATGCCCCGTGGTATAATGAAAATCTCCGCGTGGAAAAACAGAAACGTAGACAAGCAGAGAGACAGTGGCGACGGACCAAATTAACCATTCACCAACTGATTCATAGAGAGCAATGTCGGCTAGTTGGTTCACTGCTCTTTCAGTCAAAGAAGGCTTATTATTCGGAAAAAATCGAAGAATGTGGCAAGGATAAAAGACAACTTTTTAGACTCACCAAAAACCTAATGGGACAGAAAGGTGAAATTATCCTACCAAGCTGTAATTCTGAAAAAGACTTAGCAAGCAAGTTCAGTGATTACTTTCTGAATAAAATCAGCTCAATCAGGAAAAATATTACCGAAGTGAACACCTCTGCTGACATTGACATCTCTGTCATGACTGCTGACATTGCATTTGATGGGGAACCATTGACAAAGCTCTCACCAACAACCCAGGACGAGTTGCGCAACATTATCATGACCTCGCAATCGAAGTCCTGTGAGCTTGATCCACTGCCTACAGACCTATTAAAGCAATGTCTTGAAGCACTGCTTCCTTTGATTACCGCAATCATGAATAAATCATTGGTTGAGTCAAAGGTTCCATTATGTTTCAAGAAGGCACATGTCAGACCATTGTTAAAAAAGCCTGGAATGGACAAGGAGGAGTTGAAAAACTACCGCCCAGTTTCAAATCTGCCTTTTCTGTCTAAGATCTTGGAGAAGGTTGTGTCCCGGCGTTTAGAGGTTCATCTCCATGCAAACAGTCTCCATGACAACATGCAATCGGCCTACCGCATGGGACACTCTACTGAGACGGCCCTCCTACGTGTACATAGTGATATAGCTTCTGCATTGGATAACAAGTGCAGAGCGGTGCTTGTCATGCTGGACTTGTCAGCTGCATTTGACGTCATCGACCATGGCATACTTTATAAACGTCTGGAATACTCTTATGGAGTGACTGATACCGCACTATGCTGGATACAGTCATACCTGAGTGAACGACGACAGTGTGTTGCCATCGGATCTGCCACCTCACATGACAAAGTACTAGATTTCGGGGTTCCTCAAGGGTCGGTGTTAGGACCACGAAAATATTGTATGTACTCCAAACCGATTGGAGAGATTTGTCGTCGCCATAGCCTTCGCTATCATTGCTATGCTGATGACACACAAATTTACATGGTCATAAAACCACAGGACAGTTGGAATACAGTCTCAGAAAGTCTGGAAGCTTGTCTGACAGATATCAGTATCTGGATGAACGCCAACATGCTTAAACTTAATCAGGAAAAGACGGAACTAATCGTCTTTTCCCCAAAGTGTCAGCAAACAATGGCTCTCCAGCTCAAGGTTGGTGCCAGAACTATTGAGACTGTTCCAGCTGTTAAAAACCTAGGGGTATACTTTGACAGTTCTCTGAACATGGAGAAACAAGTGAACGCTATTGCCAAATCCTGTTACTACCAGATCAGGAACATCGGCTGTATTCGGCAGTTTCTAACTGCAGATGCATGCAAGATTTTGGTGCATTCACTTGTTACCTCTCGGTTGGATTATGGTAACGCCCTGCTCTGTGGTATATCTGACAAACTAACTAGTCGTCTGCAGAGGGTTCAGAACACTGCAGCACGGCTAGTTACTCGTACTCGAAAGAGAGAGCACATCACACCTGCGCTTTATTCGTTGCACTGGTTACCTGTACGATACAGGTCGCAGTACAAAATTCTGGTATACACATACAAGGCACTGAATGGAACAGCTCCTCAGTACCTACAGGAACTTGTTACCCTGTATCAGCCGTCAAGATCACTGCGGTCGGAGTCAGAATCTTTGTTGTGTGTCCCAAAATCTCGTACTGTGACCTACGGAAACAGATGCTTTGGGAGGGTTTCGGCTACGTTGTGGAATAGCTTACCATCTGCTATTAGGAAGTCGAATACCCTGGCCAAGTTCAAGAGGGACATAAAAACTCACCTCTTCACGTCTGCATTTTAGAATCTTTGCAAAGACGTCATGCTAATACCACCCTTTTATTTGTTCAATTATGTGCACATTGCTTGTTAAATGTATGAAAGTGATTGCAAGCCTTTGTTGTTTGTTTTCACAATTATAACCATTACTATTATCCATATGTTGTAAAGCGCCTTAGAGTAATTTTACAAATTATATAGGGCGCTATATAAATGTTGTATATTATTTTTATTATTATTATTAATGTCCATACATAGACTTGTTCAAGTCCCATAAATGACACCGTGATGAATTATGCAGCCATCCAGTATTGTAACTAAACAATAAAAAACTAGTTATTGCAGTAGTTAGTATATAATGTTATGTACCACGGACTTTGTTATTTTGCACTTACCCACATTAACTAGGACAGTGACATATATTTTAACTCATACATATGGTTCTGATTGGGTCGTGTTCTTTTTCAGCCTTTATGCCGGTACACAATCTTTTATAACAAGAGGCCCAAGGGCCTTAGCGGTCACCTGAGTTATATCATAGGTACTGGTAGCTTTATTTTATTGTTTAGATGTGATGTGGAAATCAGCATGTAAACTAAGTGAAATACAATACTTGTCATGTCATCAAAGGATAAGAATTTGAAAATATTGGTAAATGTTCCCTTTGGGGCCCCGCCCTAGCCCCTGGGGATGGGGCAGGAATCCCAATTTTCCAAAGTAATACTCTCATTCACCAAAGATGATTCTGACTAAGTTTGAGTAATTTTCTGCTGAAAATGGATAAAATATATACCCAAAAGTGTTATTTCCCTATATAAACTATAGTAAACTTTACCCCCTCCCCAAGGGAGAACGGATAGCTCGGGGGTCCTGAAATTTACAATTTAAATAAAGCCCCTGATGATCTTTCCATCCATGCAGAGAAAATGACTGTAATACCTCTGAGTCTGGAGAAGAAGATTTTTGAAATATTGGTTAATTTTCCCTTTTGTGCCCCGCCCTGCCCCTAGGGTTGGGGTAGGAATCCCAATTTTACAACTTTAAACCATCTTCCTCCTCCAAGGATGATTTTGACCAAGTAAAAATAATTTCTAACAGAAAATTGTCAAAATATACCCAAAAGTGTTATTTCCCTATATAAACTATAGTAAACTTTACCCCCTCCCCAAGGGAGAACGGATAGCTCGGGGGTCCTGAAATATCCAATTTAAATAAAACCCCTGATGATCTTTCCATCCATGCAGAGAAAATGACTGTAATACCTCTGAGTCTGGAGAAGAAGATTTTTGAAATATTGGTTAATTTTCCCTTTTGTGCCCCGCCCTGCCCCTAGGGTTGGGGTAGGAATCCCAATTTTACAATTTAAAACCATCACTCCTCCAAGGATGATTTTGACCAAGTAAAATTATTTCCAACAGAAAATTGTCAAAATATACCCAAAAGTGTTATTTCCCTATATAAACTATAGTAAACTTTACCCCCTCCCCAAGGGTGACCGGATAACTCGGGGGTCCCGAAATTTACAATTTAAATAAAGCCCCTGATGATCTTTCCATCCATGCAGAGAAAATGA